ACAAACCAAACACTGGTTCTAGATCGGACCATTAACATTTTACACACGTTCAGTCAAGCCAGAAATAAAGGACCTCATTTTAATATCTTGTCAGATTAATAGAGTCATAATTGAACAGTGCCTGGCAGACTAGGTAATCAATATCAATAATATCTGATAATACATCAGTCACTTGACTCTCTGAAAGGATGTTATAACATATTAGCATGTTAGCATATTGGACTTAATCTTTAACTGACAGCATCTCAGAGTTAATGAATAGTAAGTCTGATGTAACTATGATATTAAAGGCATATTACACCACACTCTTCCACTCCATATTCTGTCCACACTTTAATAAATCTATTTATGGAATGTGTGGAACCCAGTTATGAGTCCCTATAAGCCCAGTTTCTGTTCTGCATCTATTGATGATTATAAGACGAAAGGCAGATTCAGAGGTTGGGATATAATGACAGTGAGTGATTCCAAGGTCCTCCATTCGTTCACAAGGCTTTGTGTCATTGTTAATAAAAATAATAAAATGTAATACATCCCTTGAGTAACTTTCCTGTGTAACTTTTAAACAGCAGATGAATGTGCAGTCCAAAGGTCAAAATACTGACATCTGTGAAGTGCCAAGGGAGCGTCTCATCCCAAATGTTCCCATGCAGACTGAACGGCATTATAAAAACAGGCTTTTTTTTATTGCCATTTCCTCTGCTACTGCCTTAAGTAAATAGCTTTTTAGTGAAAATATGCTTTTATGGATAGAGTTAGATTTTGTAGAATACAAACTTTTCAGCCTCTTTGGCACAAAGTCACTGATTAAAAGGAGTTTAAAGAATGTCCTTGTCTGTGTGTCTGTGTCATTTGAGCTCTTCGTTCTCCCCTGGAGAGTGTGTTAGTCCAGTACTAATTGACTTCAGTTTGTGTGTGTTTGTGCAGGACTCAGCGGGGGAGTCTCTCTACATGCTGTTCAGGGCCATAAAGCACCAGGTAGATAAAGGACCGGTGGACGCTGTGACCGGCAAGGCCAAGTACACCCTCAATGACAACCGCCTCCTGCGAGAGGACGTGGAGTACAAGACCCTGGTGAGGAGACCTCTGACTTTAAACTGAATGGTTGCCTGCATCTAATTAAGGAGACCTCTGCCATGACCTCCAGGAAGTTGTTTTAAAAAAACCCCTCTTTCATTCCCTCCTCTTCTTCTTCTGCAGACTCTGAATGTTTTGGTGCAGGGTGGAGGGGTGAACGAGACCCAGCCACTGCCTTCTAAAGTACTGGACTGTGACACCATCACACAGGTAAAAGAGAAGCTGCTGGATCAGGTGTACAAGGGCACCTCCTTCTCCCACCGCCCCCACGCCGACTCACTAGACCTGGGTGAGAACCTGCATACGCCACACAACAATTCAATTCAATTCAATTCAATCTTATTTGTATAGCGCCAATTCATA